AGAATTTAAGATAGAAATCTTCTAACTTTTGGGACAATAAGGTCTGATAAAAAGAACATTTATATACAAGTATAAGCCAGAATGATTTGACATTTAAATATGATTTCCCTATGACTTTAAAAAAACGTAACAGATAAACATCATCATTTGATTATTTACAACTTTAAATTTTTGGTTGCAAATAGTCATTTCCATTTAATTTGTTCTACGAACTTCCTTTCAGTTTTTTATTTTTATTTTATTTATTTAGTGAAAAGCTGTTTAGTTTGCATACATCTAGATAAAATATTGTCACCTGCGTTAATGTTAGCAATAAGTAATCAAGCTACCAAATGTTCAGTTTGAAGATTGATGTGATGTAGAAATCACCGGAGGTGATGAAGATGAGGGGGAAGGAATGGAGGAAGAGGAGCTGGTGTTTGGCTATTGTTAGGAGATGCTAACCCAGAGGGTGAGCTATGCTACGCTATGCTGAGGCTGTTTACAGTTAGCATCAAAACATTTTCTCAGACATATTGAGTAACGACTGAAAGATGCTTCAAACTGACCTTCATTATCATCTGATTTGATTTTATTACCCTTAATATGAGCAGAGTTCTGCAATCCAATCTGGGGGCATTTCCACCTCTTTGATAAAAAGAAATTTATACATATATATAAATAGTGATACTTTGATCTATTTTTACATATTTATTATTGACTGATTGATTGATTGGTTGATTGACTCTTTTGATCTCACAGTGGAGAAATTAACTGGTTCCATCAGCTCAAATAGTCAAAGGAGGAGAAGAAGGAGCCAAAGGTGGAAAAAGGTGCATGATGGGATATATAGAGTATATACAGCATGCCCACACATAACAGCTTTTTATAGCAGGATCATTATACAGGGATATTGCACAAGGTGTTTCCACGGGTATTTATATAGATGGATATTTATATATATACAGTTATTGCTCTGGGTGTCAGATATAGAGAAACAGGTTATTGTATTAAATAGTAATTATTCTCCATAGCAGCAGTTATTGTGGTTGTAGCGTCTCATTGTAGAGTCTGGTTGCAGCAGGGATGAATGACCTGCAGTAGTGCTCCTTTTTCCAACCAGCCTAGGACAGAAACGGCCTTCCTCACCAGTTTGTTAAGTCTTTTTCTGTCCCACTCTGCGCTGCCAGGGGCCCAGCAGACGATAGCGTAGAGGAGGACTGATGCCTCCACAGAGTCAGAGAAGGTTTGAAGCAGCGACCTGCTCACTGCAGAGGAGCTCAGCCTCCTCAGGAGGTGGAGGGAGGCTCTGGCCCTTCTTAGTCCAGTTTATTATTGACGTGAACGCCCAGGGATTTGAAACATATTTTTCCTTTATTTTCCCCCAATAATCCTTCTTTGATGACCTCCATGGCTTAAAAATATAACTAAGGATATGTAATATTAGAAGTAATGAACGTGTATAACTAGCTGTGACTCATCTACTGTTATTTCTGCTCAATATTAAAGTGTTTTATCTTCTTCTATCCCTTCCGTTGCTGCTGCCTCCTCCTTAAACTGAATTCCCAAATGCAGTGAGAACAAAGAATGAAGTCTTGGTATCGGCTGATAAGACACCCCCACACAGTTCTGGTGCGTCATGTTTTTATAAACATCTATTTCAGGGATAACTCCAACATTTTGTTAACTTTCTGTTATCTAATAAACTCTTTCAGTTACAGATCTGTGCTTTCTTCTCACTACACAAAGAGCACTTGGAGCGATAACCAGTTCGTCTGATTGTTGCTCAGATGTCTGACAGGCAGCAAACTGTTTTAGCTTAGCTGTTTACTTCAGGGTGAGAGCTTTTCTTAAATAGCAGCAATACTACGTGTCTAAACTCTGATTTTGTCTCATCAGATGATCATTTACGTTTCTGTCGTTTCGCCCTCATGTCCTCACAGTACTCATTGTGTCGCGTCTGAGGCAGCGGCTCTCAGGAGCCAACAGGTGCAGAGCTGAACCTGTTGGCAGCGGGTCACTTGTAAAGCGGCAGACAGCGGAACGGCAGAGGGATGATAAAACCCAGAGCAGCGGGTTTCCTGTTGACAGGCCGGCCTCTTCCTCACAGACAATCAGGTTGTACTTCTGATGGTGAACACCGCATCCTTTCAGGTTTACTGTTCTGAGACAGCAGCCAAACACAAGCAAACGGTTCACTTAAACTGGAGACTTTTTCTTTAGCATGATGTCATCTTCTCTAGGAAACAATCTGTGGAGTTAAACCTTTTCAGCTTTATTTCTGCCTTTAAAATAAAACACAGAAATGTCTCCAAAGTCGTAGAGCTGAGTCAGCAACTTTATTGCTAATCTATGCTCCACTATGCTGCTGTAAATCTGTAGATTTTTGCCTATTTTAAACTGTAAGACATCATTGTTTCTTCCTGCTTATATCTAAATAAAAACATGTATGCTAACAAAGTGGTATTCCTTTATCATGCTCCTTTTTTATTGGTATATTAATATTTGACAGATCAACATAATGTGGCTCATATTTGCAATGAGGAAGAAAATAGATGCATAGTTTTTAAATATTTTCCAAATAAAAGCTTAAAAAAGGGTGGAATTAATTCATATTAATCCCCTTTAACTGTGATATATTGCAAACATCTGCCTTCCCTGATGAGGTAAATCCAGCTGTTTCTAATTTCATTTGCTGCTTTGTCAAACAGCATCAGGAAGACAGAGGACAGCAGACTGTCAGGGAAAACGTCTTGGAAATGAAGGGTTAGGCTGGAAAACAACATTCCAAGGTTTTCGTCTCTTATACACTCTACGATTTTTCTCAGCTCACACTGTTCGATGAAACCGCAGCGTTTCGTCGTACAATGTGAGTTCACAGCTTACAATGTTTGTTTTTTACACTGTGCAATCCGGCGCTCTGATGCAATCTACCTGCTCACACTATACGTCTAAAAACCAGGTGGGACTCAGCTCCGCAGTGAGATGGCACTACTCGGACTAATCTATCTATAAGCCAAACCAGTAGAAGAGGAAATGAAATGAAGTGAAACGCGCTGCCTTGGATATTTGGGCAATTTAATGCTGAAAGCCCTAAAAAGAAAAGGAGACGACGTATTTGGACAAAGACACGGCTGAGCAAACAAGGCTACTACGGTCTGACAGTTTTACAGAAATGACTCCATTTCACTCAGTGCACAAGGAAGATGGCAGCAACTATTGAACAGTTCTGGTTTGACTCAGCTTTGGAATCAGTCTGGAAGGATCAGACTTTGGGTTTTCATTGAAACATGAGCAGGAAGAGGCTCTACGCTCATTCATTTTTAAAAAGGACGTATTCGCCGTTTTACCGACAGGCTGTTTGTTTCCACTCCCCCACCAGCTTCCTGTTGTGCTTCCTACATCACAGTCAGTGGCTCTCATTGGTCAGAGCGTTGGCCAATAGGGACAGACATGTTTGAAAGACAACGGGTTGTTCTCATCAACAATCTTCCGATGTCTCATTCATCAGAGCCAGACTAGATTACACATTTAATCTCACATTTAGTCTGGTTTATCAGGCTACTAGTCCAGTACAAGGAGCACACCTAGAGACTCCAATTAATCTAACTGTCACGCTTTTAGACTGTAGGAGGAAACCAGAGTACCTGGAGAGAACCCATGCACACACAGGGAGAACATGCAAACTCCACCCAGAAAGACACCGGGGCCGGGAATTCAAGCCAGGACCTTTTTGCTGCAAGGCAGCAGTGCTACAAACTGCACCTGTTAAAGAACATTTTCAACTGAAAAAGAAACAAAGGTTTCAAAAGCTAATTAAAGGGAGAAACTTTCTTTAAGGTTTCTGTTCAGTAAAAACGTCCAAATGAAAAGATAGAGATAAGAAAAAGCTGAGGCCAATTAAATGAACAGATTTGATTGACTTGTTTGAAACTTTTACTTCTTGTTTTTTAAATTTACATCTTTTTTCCTTTATATTGTAAAATGCATCTTATTTTATACTTCTTATCTCAGCATTATACATTTTTTTGTAATAAGAAAATGTAAAATAAAAAGTAGAAAACACTGACTGGGACTTTAAAGTTTACTTCTAATGGTGTGACTGGTAGATGTGTTCTGATCATAGAAAGACTGATGAAATAAATTGGTGAGATATATTTAGTCACAGTTGTTCTCATATCAGCTTGTTACACATTTAATGACCAGGAAGTTATGAGCAAATCAGTTTTAAGATGTTAGCGCAGTGATGCGTTGTTAACATGAGTGTGGAGAGGTGAGTTCTTGTAGGTTTAATGGAGTCAAAGGCCAACAGAAACAAAACCCAAACATCAGGAGAAAACACACATGAGGAGCCAAATAACAAGGAAGCAGCACAGAAGAGCTGCCAGGGAGGGTATATATATAGGAGACAGAACAAAGACTGGGCTAATCAGCTGATAGGGAGCAGGTGTGGATGGAAGAGACTAGAAGGGAGCTAGGAGAAAGGACAGGAGGCACAAGGGGGCGACAAGGAGTAACTAAAGACTGATTAAATATAACACAAAATGGAAAATAAGACAAAAATCAACAAAACAGAAGTACTAAGATAACTGAAAACTAAAAACTCAAGGTTCCGTTCTCTCAACCCTTTTCTCTTTTTAGATTGTCTCACTTTAAGAATGTTATTCCAAAAAAAGTTCAAATTAATCCACTGGACTTTGTTTCCAAGATGTTTCTCTTCCATCCAGGAAGCTTTTTCAATTCAAAATGTCAGAAATAATGTTGAGTTTCAGGTTTTATAGAGTGGATCAAAAACAAAGCCTTGATTCGGCTTAGAAAATAAGGAAATTGAACTGGATGGTAGATGTATTGACCATCTGGTTCAGTTTGCAAAAAGGGGAAAAAATTGTTTATTTTCAGAGTGAAAAAGGAGGCAGAGTTCATGAGATAACAGTTGATCTTTTAAACAAAAGAAGATAAAGGAACCTACATGTTTATCACAGACTAGCTGATGAAAATGTCTTTTGATGACTTGGAGGTTACAGCCGACTAGACTCATGCTAAAAGTTTAGTAGGACCAAGTCAATACATCTGCTGCCTGCAATAAATTATGATTTATAAGCTTCTTTTTAAACTTTTGCAAAGTACAACTTGAAGCTGTGCTTCAAAGTGAACCCTGAGGCCTTTTATCTGTTTTTTTATGTATTCACTTTGATCCTGCAGAAGTTAGAGACTGTTTGATTGAACTTATACGCAGTGACTTGACAGATATTTAGATCCATGTCTATTTTTTTTGTCATGCTGATTTTGCTCAGGACTTGATACCGGTGCAGAGGTTTACTCTCCGCAGTGCAGTGAACCTTGACCTTCTGCAGGAGCTACAGTGGAAGCGTTTAGATTGAAGCATTTAACAGCTACCTAGTCCAAGTCCAGAACTGAGTCTAAATTAGAATGTGTGACAGAGACACTTGTAACGCGACTCCAGCCTGATCTGCTCCTAACTCTGCAGAACAGGCAACACTGTCTCTGCATACAAAATGACCATAAACGATGTCTAATCCAAGTCTCATTTTACTCATAACAGAGATTTTATTTCTGTTTCTCTGTGTTTTCTAGTTTACTGAGCTCTAGAGATAAATATCTGTGCAAATGAAACTGACTGAAGATGACTGATAATCCTGGCCTAATCAAAGTCTAAGTCCGGGTGTTTCTATAGAAATGGGTGAATGAATATAAAGACCATTTTCATCTATTAGATGAGTAAAACCTAAAGTTGACATTAAATATTTTATTGCTGCTCTTAGGATGAACTAGATCATTTCAGGCAAACATTAAGGAGCTTTTATGAAACGAGGGTTGGATGCAATGAATGCAACTAAGAACAGACGTAACTTTCTTGCATTTAAACTGTATAAACTGGACCATAAGAACCAGATTTAGTGCACATTGATCTGCATATTGATGAAGGCAGAGGCTGTCGGCTGAATTACAAAGATAAATTATAACTTGTTTGAATGTAAACTGTTTTAAAAAGACCCGGCCTTTCTTCAGTGGGATTTTAATTGCAAACAGATTCATTCCAGGGCTGCAGCAATAACACTGAAATGAATATAATCAGCGTTAAATGGTAAAAAAAAAAATCAACGCTGAGCTAAAAATTCTCCCCAAATGTAAATGGTTTGTGACGTTGTTGACCTTTGTCTTTGGAATGGAAATATTTCCGTCATCATGATGGATTCTAGTGATGCAGCGACTGAAGGCAGCGAGTCAGCTTCTCTAGATATGGACGCTTATGTAACAATGAAGGATGTTTCTGTCCTTTCAGCTGCATGAAGTCCAGAGGAGCTGATGTCCATTATTGGCCTTATGACAGGAATCTCTTCACAGACAAAAGAGGAGAATATTTTACGGCAGGAGGCAGTCAGACAATAACATGTAGTGGTGACTCCTTTCTGTCTGAATACGCCGCCATACATGGTAAAATGGGAAATTTACCAAGATGCTACTTATAAAGAACATGTTAGAAACACTGCTGGAAATCTGAAATTTGAAGCAGCGTAATCTGAGGGGTTTGTTCATGTTGGAGGAAGAACCCTGTGGTTCTCCCAGCTGTCAAACTACAACTTCTTTCAGTAAAAATACAACTTTTGCTCATTTAAAGTCCCTCATTCGGGACATTTATCTCCCTTTGGGATATGGCAGAGTGTCACATGGTGCCTGAGGGAGAAAACAGAAGGAGATTACTGCTCATTACAGCCAGGAGTAGAAAATAAAACTACCCTTTTCTCTATATTATTTTAACTTGACTTCCGCACTCTGGGGTTTCAGAGACTCTGAGATGGACTGGAGACCTGCCCAGGATGGACCCGCCTCTCACCCACTGACAGCTGGAGGTGGACGGACGGATGGACGGACGGACGCACGGACGGACGGACGGAC